ACAGTGACTTGTTGATGTGCTGGATTTGAGCATGAGGCCAAGTTTTCACCTCAGTTACCATAGTAATGTGAATACCAGGCTTTTGTCCGTTATTTTGTGGCTGTTTTTTTTAAGCAGCTTTTCTTTTAGGCATCGCCTCCATTCAGCCTGCAGTGTTAACTACACTGGGCAAAGCTCCAATGGCAGTGTACAGTAAGTACAGCTAGTTCCCACAGCCAGCAGAGGAACCTACTTGCTCAGACACTGATTACAATCTTACAACACAAGGGAGGCAGGACACTGGAACAGACAGCATGAATTAAAGCTGTTCAATCTTCTTCTTGAACGATGACCAATTCTGTTGCAGATTCTTACCCACAATAAACTTTATGCATCAAACAGATCCAGCGCACAGAGTTACAATACAATAGAAAAACTCAGCAGGTCTAGCAGCATCTGTGGAGACAAACTAGAGTTAATGTTGTGGGTCCAGTGGCCCTTCATCAGAACTCGGATTCATTAACTCTACTTTCTGTCCACAGATGCTGCCAGACCTGCTGTGTTTTTGCAGCAACTTCTGTTTTGTTTCTGATTTCCAGCATCCGCAGTTCTTTGGGATTTTTTTGTTACAAGCCAACAGGATCACTCAAACTGTATATCTGTCATGTTTGTGATCATGTCTGTGTTTGAATGTAGTATGTTTCTATATAATGTGAGAGTGCTTTACATGTTTGTGTATGTAAATATATCTGTGTATGGGCACCATTTTTTATACTGTATCAGATAGAGAGCAGCTCAAAGGAATGTGTAATTCAATCTAAGGGTTGCTGATTTACTCACTAATTACAGTGACAGCAAGCCCCAAGTATTCAGAGGGATTAAAGTTCAGTCCAACACACTGAAACTTCCTTTGTTTGCTACCCTTTTCTGAGATATTTCTGATGACTTGACTGACTTTTCAGTTAATCTTTCAGTCAAGCTGTGCGAATTCTTTCCTTTCATCTGGCTTTCTGTACTTGTTTCCACTATTTTTAATGATTGTGTTCCTGGACTAGTAACCCAGAGAGCTGCGTTAATGATGCAGGGAAATTCCATCATCACTGTTTCATAATTCCAATTAAGTTTTTTTTAAAAAACATCCCAAAGTAAAAACCAGTACAAGTAAAATTGACCATGAAACTATTGGATTATCATAAAATCCAACTGTTTTACTAATATGCTTGAAGGAAGGAAAACTGATAATCTTACCTGGTCCTGGACCATATGTGATTCCATCCCCTAAAAACATGGTTGCATTAATTCTCTGTGAAGTGGCCAGCAAACCACTCAGCTGTGTCAAGGAAGCAGGACCAGCAGTGCTTTTCCTTGGGAACTAGGATGGGCTTTAAATACCAGCCTTGCCAGCAATGTTCAAATCCCAAGACTGGAAAAGAATCTGCTTAAAAATGTTTGACGATGTTTTCATTGAGTGTAGAGAAAACTCCTTTCTCTGGCACAGATTCAAAATCATTAGCTGATGAGGAGAATATTTTTGTTCAGAATTGTCACTCCGTAGTTGATGGAAGCTGATTACATAAATACATTGAGAAGTCACACAACATAAGATTATAATCCAAACAGATTTATTTAAAATCACAATTTAAAACCTAATTGAAGGAGCAGTGCTCCAAAAGTTTCTGATTTTAAATAAACCTGTTAGACTATAACCTGGTATTCTGACTTTGTCTACTGTAGTCCAACATCGGCATCTCCACATGATAAATAAATTGAGAAGGGAAATAGATGCACATCTGATAATGAGGAATTTAGAAGTTTATGGACAAAAAGGCAAGGAGGTGCATTTGACAAAGCTCTTTCAAAAGGACAGTGCAGAAATGACTGACGAAATGGCCTCCTCTGCACTGTAAGTTTCCCAGGGCACCTAGTCAGGAGGCAGCTCATAAACTAACAGAAGTTGAACCCTGTGCTGAGAGTGCTCCATTTAACCATGACACAGAGCAGTCAGAACTTCAGTCAGGTGAATAAAATAACCAGAGAGCAGGGCATGCTGGAAATCAGAAAAAAAAATAGAAATTGTAGGACAAACTCAGCAGCGTCTGTGAAGAGAAAGCACAGCTAACATTTCAGATCCAGTGACCCTTCTTTAGGGCTCTGCTTCCACCCCACAACTGCTGCCAGACTTGCTGAGTTCCTCCAGCAGTTTCTGTTTTTGCGTCAGTTAGGAAGGTGGCTGTGCCTTCAGGCAATGTTAATCTCTACTCAGTGACTGAGTGTTGACAGCAGGCATGCTCCAACCAGCTCCTGAGTGCAGTTTATATTACACAGATCTCCTTTCTTGTGCTTAGCAAGGAATAGCTTCCGACGCTTCACAGCTAGATGTATTATGGTCAGAAATTCACAAACAATGACTTCCTGTGCCTCAAGACATGCCTTCATCTCAAACTCAACACAGTCCCACTGTACCAGTATGCTAGTTTCCCTTTATCATTACCATCATGCGACCTCATGTTAAATTGCCAACTGGTGCTAAAACAAACATGAAATGTCAGTTTCAAGTGGATGAGACAACTAAGACAGATCCCAGTGTTAAACAGTGACAGAAGCGGTCCCCACAGATACTCTATTCCAGTGTTTTAAAATGACATATCTGACCGCAACAGTACCGTACCCCAGTCTGATATACTGACAGACCTGTCCCCAGCAGTACCGTACCCCGGTGTTATATAGTGACAGACCTGTCCCCACCAGTACTGTACCACAGTATTATATAGGCTTCCTTTCTTTACTACAGACTCATCTGAGTGGAGAATGTTCTCCTGATGTCAGTTCTAAATGATCTAGCCCATATCCTGAAATTGTAACCCCTTGTTTTAGACACCCTACATGGAATGAATATCATGCTTGAATCCAGTCTCTGCAGCCCTGAGGGAATTTTATTCATTTCAGTCAGATCCCTCTCATTCTTCTAAACTCAGCGAATGCAGGCCCAATCTGTATCTCTCCTCATTGGGCAAACCTGCCATCTCAGGAATTAGCCTGATGAACCTTTGCTGCACTCCCTCTTTGGCAAGTTTATTTTCTTTGGTAAGGAAACCAAAACTGTGCCAAGTACTCCTCATGTGATCTCACTAAGTCTTTTGTAAACTACAGCAAAACATTCTTGCTCCAAAGTCAGATCTTTTTGCAATGAAGGTCAAAATACTTTAAGCCCACCTAACTGCTTGTTGCCCCTACATGCTTGCTTTCAATGGCCAGTGTACAAGGTCATCCCTTTGTACATCAATATTTCCCAATTCATCACTTTGTAATATTCTGTTGTTCCTGAAGTGGAAAACTCACACTTGCCCAGTATTCTGTGTCTGTCATATATTTGTCCACTCACGCAACTTGGCTTGGTCACCCTGAAGCCTCTGTACTTCCTCCTCACCACACACAATTCAGCAGCAAATATAGAAATATTATCAATAAATCCATCATGCAAATAGTCAATATTCATTGTGAATAGCTGGAACCCAGACACTGATTCATGTGTTACCACCAGTCACTGCCTCCCATTCCAGAAAAGACTCATGTACTTCAACTCTCTTTTTGTCTGCTGCCAATTCTCAATCCATGTCAGTATTTTATCCCCAATCCTGCGTGCTTTAATCATGCACACTTAAAGTTCCACATTAGAGTGGTACTATTATCAAAAACTTTTTAAAAATCCAAATACATCACATCCGCTGGTTTTCCCTTGTCTATTCTACTAGTTAAGTCTTCAAAAATTCTCCAGTAGGCTTGTCAAAGGTGATTTCATTTCCATAAATCCACGTTGATGTTTTCTAATCCCATTGATACTTTCTAAGTGTCTTGTTACCACATCTTTTATAACAGACTCGAGTATTTTACCCACTACTGATTATGCTGACTAGTCTGTAACTAGTTAGTGGCTGTAGTCTATAGTTAGTTCGTACATGTACGCTGACAACACCGAGTTCTACCTTACACCAACTCTTGACTCCACTGTTGTTAAATTATCAGCCTCTTTATCAAATATCCAGTGCTGGATGAACAGAAATTTCCTCCAATTAAATATTGGAAGACTGAAGACATTGTTTCAGTCCCCACTGCAAGCTCTGTTCCCTAGCGACTGACTCCATCCCTGTCCCTGGCAACAATTTGAGATTAAATCAATCTGTCGCAAACTTTGAGTTTGCACCACCACCTATTTCCACTCCAAACCATTGTTCAACTTGGCCGATGCTCCAGCTAATCTGTTGTTGTGTCTTCATTTTCACAATTCCAGTGCACTCGTGGCTGTTCTCCCACATTCTACCCAATGTAAATTTGAGATCATCCAAAGCTCTGCTGTCTTGTGGTTTAACTCACAGCAAGTCCCATTCCCCTGTCACTCCTGTGTTCTCTGATCTGCAGTGTGGCTCCTCCTTGTTTTCATCCTTGTTTTCAAATCTATTCACAACCTTGTCCCTGTATAACTCTGTAAACTCCTTCAGGTTAAAAAGCTTTGAGATTTCTGCATGCAGTTTAGGTGTCTTGCATATTCCCAATATTCTTCATTCTACCATTGGTGGTGGTGTCTCCAGCTATCCAGACCCGAAGCTCTGGAATTCAGACCAAAGTTTATCACACCTCTCTCTGCTCTTATAAGATAGTGCTTGAAATCTGCTTTTATGATCAAACTGTTGATCAAAGAGTTATTATCTCCTTTTGTGGCTTGCTGTTAAATTTTGACTAATTAACTCCTATGAAGGACTTTAAGACGTTCAATTATGGTGAAATTGCTATATGAATGCAAGTTGTTGCAGGAGGAGGGAAAATGATCATTCAGGATTCCTGCACTTGACCTCCATCCACTGACATGTGCTAAGTGGTGTATGTGTGTAGAAGTCACGCAAGATCAGAATTGGTTTGGGTTGAGGATCTCCATGTCTATGGCTGTGTGGCGGACAGTGTGCTAGCTTTTTCCTGGTCCCCTGGTGGTATCTATGATGCTAATACATCTTTTGTTTTCTTTGCAGCTTCTTTTTCGGAAAAAGTAAGGAACATGTCTCCTGATGACATCAAAATGCCACCCGAACCCATGGGGAGATGTTCTAACCACTTACAGGTATGAGGCACCAGCCAAGGGGTATAAGTCAGACTGCTGGTATTGTGGGAGAGTCAGATGGGGAAATGGAGTGTTGTGTGCTGAGAAACATTTCTTTGGGGCACATTATTATTTGTTCTCACAATCAGATTTGAAAATCAACAGCCAGTTTGAGTAGTGTGTAAATGCTTTTTGCAGGAGTGGCTATATGGTTCATTGAGAGTCATGTAAGCACGGTTAGGCTACATTAACCTACTTCCCTCTCATAATGAAAACTTAATTCCCACAAACCTTTCTTATCTAATTTCTTCTCTCCTGTTCTGCGGCCTAGTCCCGATAGTCTGCTGGTAATATGGTGGCCATGTGTGTGCTGGGATAGTGACTGCCAGACAACTGCCTTAACTTAAAGGGAGTATCACAGCTTAGCCCAAATCAGACTGATGTCACCATCAGTCACCAAGATCATTAACTCCATTACAGTGACATCATTCAATAACCAGGCTGGTCAACTGGTAAGAGAATCAGATTGACCTTGACCTTTCTTCATTCTTTCTGATGTTCCTAAACTCACCTGACTGTCTCCTTGTCAGGGAGCCACTTCCTTGGATCAGGAATGACAATCCCAGCTGATTTTATTCCCCACTGCCCCAGCTGGCTTGCCTAGAGTCTCCAGCATCAGTTAAAATGCCCCACCTCTGCTCACTCAGCACAGACCAAGAATTGGACCTGGGGCACGCTCTAATTTAATCACATGGTGTCAGTGGGGAGCCTTGAAAATAATCAAAACACAGAAATCAGACTCTCAAAACCTGACTGTCAGCCGTGCCATCAGCTGTCTGGGCCCTATACTCTGGAATTCTCTCCCTAAACTTTCTGTCACCTTTTTAAGAACCTCCTTCATACCAACCTCTTTAGTCAAGCTTCTGGTCATTTGTCCAAATGTTTCCTTTTGTATCTTGGTTGTAGATTGGTGTGATCCACACTCCTGTGCCTAAAGGCACTATATAAATGTAAGTGGCTGCTAATTGTTCTACTATGAAAACATTATAGCTACAGACAGCTTGGATTGTAGATTACAACTATTAAAATGCTTTAGGAGTGTCCGCCACATTCTTTCAGTCAACACTACCTAAACACACCCACAAGCTCCAAGGTTGCAATGTTTACAGTTGAGTAATAGTTTGGCCACTAGTGTATCAGGCAGGTATGGGTGTCTAAACATGTCTTATGATATCAGACACCCCTAATCAAAGTCAGTTTCTTGCAGGAATGGAGAGATTGCCATCATTACGCAGTCAACACATCGACAGATTTACAGGATAAAAACCAGAGTTCAGTGCTGGAAGACCTGGCACTAGCCATTTTGGCTGTGGAGCTCACTGAGTCGACCAGTGTATGGACTTGGTCCATTCCCAAGCAAAGGTTGCTCAGGATTGGGGAGACTGCTGTAGAGCATCCTTCCCTAACTCAAGAATCACTTCCATTTGAAGAAACTGCCTACAAGTTTATTTGCTTCTTGCCCCCCCGTGCTTTGCAGTAAGAATTTGTATTTGGGTTAGAAAGGTACAGAATCAACCCAGGTTTCTGTTGCTGATCATGGTGCAGCAGAAAGTGTGCAGTGCTGCAAAAGATACATAGGTGACTGAGAGATTAGGTTGTTGTTGGGATTAACTTTGATGCTGTCTGACCTCCAATGAGGCAGAGAAGGCCCTGGCCCAGATTGAAGCCAGGGTTAATCCCAGGAAAACTTTGTGCATGTTGGTGGTCCCTTGGCATTGAGGAGGACAGCTATTGGGCTAGATGATTCGGTTAATGACCAGTGAACTCGAGTTTAGATTCACAAATTTTTCTGCAGTGGAGGGTCCTTGTTGGTGTGTGGAAAATCGCATTCGCAGCCCTGGGCTGGCTTCCTCCTTGTTCCTCTGCCATTGCTGAGGCTTGACATTGTTTGGACCTTGATGGGTCAGGAGATGCCATGCTGAGCAATCAGCAGCTTTCAATTCCCAGTCAGTGATATTAATATCTCTGTGCTTTAGAGCAATCTTGAATGTATCCTTATTCTTTATCCTTTGGCCACCCTTTGAACTGTGGCTAACAGAAAGCTGGGAAAAAGAACCTACTGACGGAGGCAGTTCCAGACACAATGGTCTGCCCATTGGAGTTGGCTCTTAAGGAGCAGGGCTTCAATGCTGGTATGCAACTTCACAGAGGACTGACCTGTTTGTCCAACAGTCCTTCCATTGAGCACCAGGATTGGATGTAGGTACTGCTGCTGAAAACTCTTGAGGATCTCAGTGTCACATTTGGTAGATGGCCCAAGTTTCACTGCAGTTAGAGGAGGGTGGTCAACAAAACAGCCCTATACACCAAGACCTTTATTGATTTTCAAAGGTCCCTCGGCATGTACAGGGAAACTGTCAAATTACCCACTGAGTGTTGATCACTGCTAGTTGTTCCACTGTCTTCGCAGGAGAAAATTCAGAAGCTGTACGACAGAAAGCTAAATGAAGGCCTCGACATGAACAACATCATTCAGAGAAAAAAAGAGTTCCGCAACCCCAGGTCTGTACATGGACTGAATTCCAGTGTGAGTCTGAATCCTTGAGAGCAAAGGGAATCAGCAGGGTTCACTGCTGTCTGACTATAGCTTAGAGGATGGTCACTGCTGAATAATTGAAGGACTCAGTTCTGTCTGACTGTAGCTCAGAGGAGGGGTTACTACTTTCTGATTTAGAGGAGGGGTCATGGCTGTCTGACTGTTGTTTAGAGGAAAGGTCAGTGCTATCTGACTGTGGTTTGCAGGAGGGGTCACTAGTGTCTGGCTGGTGTAGAGAAGGGATTACCTGTACCTGCCTCTAGCAGAAAAGTCACTGTTTTACTGTGGTTTAGGAGAAAGATCGCTGCTCTCTGACTGTGATCTTGAGGTTAGGTCACTGCTGTCTGAATGTGGCATACAGAATGGGTAACTACTATCTGACTGGTTTAGAGAATGAATTGTTAATGTCTGACTGGTTTAGAGAATGAATTGTTAATGTCTGACTGGTTAAGAGAATGAGTCACGAGTGTCTGGCTGTAGTTTAGAGGAGGGACAACTGCTGTTTGAAAGACATAGAGGAGAGGACATTGCTGAATTACTGTAAATTAGGACAGGGATCACTGCATCCGACTGGGATTTAGGGAAAGGATCACTGTTCTCTTGATTGGGATTTATGGGAGAGGTTACTGCTGCCTGATTCCTGTTGTGATGGGGCAGTTGCCTTAGGAATTTACTATACTTTCATTGCTCTGTTGGATTATTTGATTTCTGTACAGTTGATGCCTTGCTAAGCTTCTTGCTCTGTCTCTTTCAGCATTTATGAAAAACTGATCCAGTTCTGTGGCATCGATGAACTTGGTACAAACTACCCAAAGGTAATGTTCAGCTCATCAGTACAGATATTGCAGACAGTTTACACTGTATCTCAATTCCCTTGATTGAAAATCTTGGATAATGGCAACAGACTCTCAGAGGATTCAATAAGGCATGGTCAAAATAAAAATAGTATGAGATTAATCAGGAAATGAGGATTTGGTGATAGAGGCCTGTGTTTAAAAGTTTCAGGGTTAGATGAGTGACTTGGGGAGATGAGATGTTCCTCAGGATAGGGAAACTCAAGTTGGGAGATTTCTTGATGCATGAGAGGATGTTTCTCCTTGTGGGAGAGACTAGAACTAGGGAACGCAGTTTAATAATAAAGGGATCACCCATTTAAGACTGCAATGAGAATTCTTCTTTCTCAGAGGGTCGTCAGTCTTTGGAACACTCTTTCCCAGAGAGTAGTGGAAACTTGATTATTGAATATTTTAACAGCAGAGATAGGTAGATTCATGACTAACAACGATGTCAAAATTAGGGATAGGCAGGAAAGTGGAGTTGAGGCCACAATTAGCTCAGCTACAATCTTATTAAATGGTGGAACAGGCTGAAGAAGCAGATTCCTATACTCATGTGTATGTTTGTCCATTTCTGTATCCAGAGCATTGAAATTAACCAAGGAACAGTTAGGAAAGGCTACTCCACAAAAACAGAGAAAGTTTCCGTGTGAATGAGAGGTCACTTGTGCAAGCGAGATCTCTTTCTTCATCCAGTTTAGAAAACATTTCTTTTTATTGTTAGATGAGAGATTTTCTGATTTGGCTTCTAGACTTCAGTCCAATGAGCCTAAGAGCACAATGTCCAATGCTGTATCCCTGTATGTTTAACATGTGACTTTCTCCACAGGACATGTTTGACCCCCATGGATGGTCAGAGGATTCATACTATGAGGCTTTAGGTAATGTTTTATTAGAAACCATAGCAAGCACAGCCTAGCCTGCACATGTGTGTCTCAGTCACTTTCAGTATATTGGCAATGCCAAATGTTGGCCCATTCTCAACCCCCATTTCCTTCTCTTGCAGCCAAGGCTCAGAAAATAGAAATGGATAAAATAGAGAAAGCCAAGAAGGAACGGACAAAGGTGAGTGAAGCCTGGGCTGGACTGCACCATCGGACAGGAAATGGCAAGGCCAGCTTCAAACTAAGACATCATTTCCATGGCCACAATAATGTGCCTTAGTCCCAATACCAGTACATTCAGCTGTCCATATACTTGTGGGTTGAACATTACCCAAGGCTGGTACTAATGCCCAAACTTCACTGGTAACCCTCTACAGTATCATTTATCAGGCTGTTCAAATATGGTAGGGTGCATTAGTGTCCAATCCTATCGTCATCTGACATCCATACAGACACACTTCCCAGGAATTCCAGCATTACTGGATGGTGATCAGGAACTCAAAAACCCTCACTACCAAACCAGCATTACAAGTGAAGCCTTTGGATTACTAACATCAAGTTCTATCACTGATGGTGTCATAGTCAGCTGAGGGTTTAAGATCTTTAAATCAGGATCTTTTAGACTCCCTTTGTTTCAGAGCCTCCCTCCCACTGACCCAGAAAGCATTTCTCTTCGTGCCTGGATCTGTAAATTGCCTCATCAGAGGCAGTTGCTGCTTCTCCCAGTTCTCAGAAGACAACAGAATAACAAAACATTAGACCTTGCTTTGAACTTTAATTGCTGAGTAAAATTATTAAATGTTAGAAGAACCCACATGTAGTGGCTGTAACACAGCGTTTTATTTTTGTAGTGGTTGTTGCTAGCTCTTCATGAGAAAACAGATTAGATTTAACTTGCAGAATAGTTCCATAGTTGAAGGGAAGTTAAGAAAAGGGTATTTGTTTTGGAGCTTCAAAGGAAGTTCTCTAATTTGAAAAAAATTATAGTTTCTAAGTTCTTTCAAAGCTCCTTAAACTCTTGTATCTTAAATTACTGTCATTGGTGAGTTGTAACTCCACATATTGCCATATTGTCTATCCTTGGCATAAAATCCAGAAAAAAAAAGCCTTTGGTGCACTGCCAAGAAACTCAATTCGGCAATTGCTTTTAAGTCCCCTTCTATAAGAGGCACTGAACAACATGCCACATCCCATTTAAATTATGAAACAAGAAATCCAAGTAATTGCTATAACTGAAAACCTGCTTATATATTTGGAATAGACTGTTTATTCTAATTCCTTGAGTAGTTAAAATGATAGAACATCACAATCTTTAAACTACACTCTTCATTTGTGGGTCACTTATAAGTACAAGCAGAACCAGTACTGTAAAAGCAAAATAATGTGCATGCTAGAAATCTGAAATAAAAGCAGAAAATGCTGAGGTCAGCATGCAATCCCTGATGCCTCAAAGGAAGCAGTTTGTTTTCTGCTAAAATGTCATATGTGGAGCGGCAAACTGAGTAAGTTTCACGGAACCTGTTGAATCAGCTGAACAGGGATTTATGCAAAAAGCAAGAGACGAAGAACGTAGTTGAGAAGCTCTTTCCCTATCTGCTTTAAGTCTGTTACAATCCCAGTACACTAAAAGAATAAAGTCCTCCATTACATCCATGCTATAGCTCTTGTGTCTTTCTGCAACTCGCCTGCAGATTTGCTCTGCTATATCTTTGCCACTTGTTGATAGCCTACAGAACATACACAGTTGTGAGATTCCACCTCTTAATTTATTTCTCATATTTTTGTTAGATTGAATTTGTGACCAGAACAAAAACAGGAACCAATACCAGCTCTGGCACAGGCACAACAACCACATCAAGTACAACCGTGGCAGGTAACTCAAGATGATGGGGACACATTACAAATGGGCGTCAGTTCACCATGTATGCAGCAAGCAGGGCTGGCGATGCAGTCAGCACTTCTGCTGCAAGCAGATCTCCTCATTGACTTGCCTTCTCTCCTTCGTCTCCACAGATTCTCAGAAAAGGAAGAGTAAATGGGACTCCGCAGTACCCGTGACGACAATAGCTCAGCCAACAATCATCACTACTACTGCAACACTGCCGGGGGTCGTCACAGTAACAACCAGTGCCACTGGGGCAAAAACCACGGTCATCTCAGCTGTGGGCACCATTGTCAAGAAAGCTAAGCAATGAGCCTAGGCCAGGAGCACAGTCTCTGAACAGTTGCAGAGCTCAAGGCCCTGTGGGACCAGACTCATATTCAAGAACTTATTTTCCCTTCCTTGCAGCTACTAACCTCAGCTGTGTACAGCTGGGTCATAAACAGCTTGAAACAGTCCTTCACTGCCCAATTTGGGGTCCATCATGTCCCATAAACAGTTAACTTAAAATACATTATACAACCTGGGGAGTAGTGGCTGGAATTTCAATGCTGAAAGGTCTGAACTGTATATATTTATAGTAATGTGTAACTGACCTGAGGGGATTGAGGGGTGAAATAGGTTCGCTGGACATGGGGAGTGAATTTGGGTTTTTTGGGGGGAGGGGAGGGGGCAACGCAACAGGTCATCTGGTGATCACTAAGATCCAGAAATCAACTAAATGTGTCTGGATACTGATTGTGCTTTCTGTCGGTCTCGTACTGTAGGCTGTTGCACTTGTGTTGTAAACTGTGGATGAGTAAACACACACTGCACACTCGTGTATGATTATGACGAAGCATTGTAAACTGCTGGCAGTGTGGAAACACAAATAAAAGCTTCTTACTTTCTTGTTCGTCTGAAACTGTACCTGTCTTCTACAGAGGCTGTGATCTGGTCTTCGTCAGAATTGTTAAGATTTTGTTTTTTTTTTGACAGTTCTCTGTATTACTGTTTGAATTGTCAGCTATTACTGGGATGTTACTGAGAGTTTTATAGAGACCCACCCCAAGTGTGAGAGTTCAGACAGAGTACTAACAGGCTGTTTGATTCTGGGAGCCAACACAACTGAGTCCTCACTTGGTGCCAACATACACACTCACTCCAGCAGGGTGAAGGAGATATTGCAGGCTTCTTTTACCCCTCCTTGGCCTAGTGGCACAAAGGGGAACTGCACTCTCTTCCTATTCGAACTGGGATCAGGTAACTTCATTCAGGCCAGGAATTGCCCCTGAGACTGTCTGGTCAGTGGCACACATGAGAACATGGGAATTGCTAAACTATAGAAGACCAAGATTTGTCTTCTGCACCGTTTAGCATTCTGGTAGTCACTCAGCACAGTGCTATAATGTTATTGATTAACCACAAAATCAGCCTTGATCATTGATTGAGACAGGAGGTGAGGAAAACTCTAATGGTGAAGAACTTTAAATCATAGTTCTAAAGTAACCCATTCCTCACAATCCAATACACTCATGTCTCAAATTCCTCAAAATAGCACTTTCTGAAAGAAATTCTATCAGACTTGAATCTTAATGTGTTAGTATCAAAATTGTCCACCATTATGATAGAAAGTATGCTCCTTAGATTGACCTTTGAATTTACTCACATTATGTAGAATTCCAAAAGTAACTTTGGTTAATGGACAGAAACAGAGACTAAGATTACAAAGAAAGAAACCATTTTTAGTCATCCATTCACCCCTTCAATCATTATGGTTGCTCTTTTGGTAATGCATTTCTCCACAGAGCTGTGTATGTTTGAGGTCTGACATATATAGAGTCAGAGATGTACAGCACAGAAACAGACCCTTCAGTCCAACTCATCCATGCCAACCAGATATCTTATATAAATCTAGTCCCATTTGCCAGTATTTGGCCCATATCCCTCTAAACCCTTGCTATTCATACACCCATCCAGATGCCTTTTAAATGTTGTAATTGTACCAGCAACCGCCACTTCCCCTGGCAGCTCCTTCCATATACGCATCATCCTCCACGTGAAAAAGTTGCCCCTTAGGTCTCTTTTATCTCTTTCCCCTCTCACCTTAAACCTATGCCCTCTAGTTCTGGACTCCCCCACCCTGGGGAGAAAACCTTGCCTATTTACCCCTGTCTATGCCCCTCACGATTTTATAAACTTCTGTAAGGTCACCCCTCAGCCTCCAATGCTCCAGGGAAATTAGCCCCAGCCTATTCAGCCTCTCCCTGTAGTTCACTCTGTGCTAACAGATATCTGGATCAAGTCCCTGTTTAAATGTTACTGAAGCTGTGTTAAAAAGTTCTTGCTCACTGTTGTCTTCACTTGTGGGAAAGGAGATGACCACTTCCTTCAGTCCTGGGAGCTGTGCAATCATCCTCAACACTCACCACCCAGCCACAAATGATGGAGGAGGAGTGGCTGCTGTGACCACCCAGTGGGCTCACCAACTCTGTTTGAGTGGTTCAGTCCTGCCCAGCTTTGAATGCAAGGGGGAAAATAAAACTGCTTTTTATTTGTGATATATGATGTTATTATTGAACCAGTATTAAAGTTCATAATCATCTCTGAATTGCCTATGTTTTTTGTTTAATCTTTAATATACAAGAGGAGGCAATGCAGACAAGGGATTTTTTAACCAGAATACAATGCAGTGGGATAACCAAGCTTCAAAATGCTGGAAATGTTCTGTCTTCACCTTTTCTTGTGGACACTATGAAAGAGAAACAATTCATTTATACTGTACATGATCTAAGGATGTGCCAATATGTGGTAATGTAGAGGAATGCAACAAGATCCCTCAGCCAGCATTGTCATGACCAGAGAGAGTATTATCTTTCATAATATTAATTAATACATATTGGTCAGGACACCACGAGGAGCTCTCCTGCTCTACAGGTAGTGCCATGGGATCCTTTATGTCTGGGAAAGCATGTTGGCCCCCTGTTTAATGCCTCACCTGAATTACTTGCACGAACAACAATGCAGAACTTCAACATTAAATGCAAGGAGTTTGTGGATTTTGTTGCCATAAAGACTCGGGCCATTTTATCAGTTGTTTTTGCCATCTCCCCACTTCCACTAGCCAATGAGCCAAACATCCTTTAAAGGGTCCCCAGTTCCAGTCCTGAACTTGCATCATTGTCTCATTTCTATCCTACCTCAAGCCACTTCTGCGATCACCTTTACCATGGGACCCACTTCCTGCTCACTCAACCCCATTGTCACTAAACTACTTACCATCTAATTTTCACTCTGGGCTTCTAATGTTAGCCAATATTGTTAACAGTTCTGTCTATTTGGGTATTGTCATTTTCTCCATTAAATGCCGAATCATCAATCCCTCATCAAAAAAAGAGCCGTTGACCCCATGTCCTTGCAACATATCATCCAATCTCCAACCTCCCTTTCCTCTCCCAAATCTTTGAAAATGTTGGCTCAGAGGTCTGTGCCCATGTTTACTGGAACTCCATGTTTGAATCTCTCCAATTAGGTTTCCACCTCTGCAACAATACTGGTAAAGATCTTTAATGCTTAAAAGTTACAACTGACCTGTGACTTTGACAAAGATAAACATTTCATTCCTGAGCTGTCTGCAGTTTTTAGCACAGTTGACCACACGATCCTCCTCTGCTATGTCTCCAGCTGGGTGGAGCTACTCTCAGCTAACTCTGACGACAGCAATGAGAAACACTCGCAATGACTTCTCTTCCTGCCCCTTCACGTTATATCTAGTATTCTCCAAAATCTGCCCTTATCTGCCTCCTAGTTCTCAGCTATGTGTTGCCCCATCCCCAGCAAGATCATCCAAAAATTCAGAAAGAGTTTTCACACTCACAACACCCAGCTATATCCCATTTCCAACTCTCTCAGCTCCTGTACTGTAGTTAAATTATCACACTACTTATTTGACATCAAGTGAAAAATGAACAGAAATTCCTTCTGATTAAATATTGAATCCCTACAGTGTGGAAACAGGGCCATTAGCCCAACAAGTCCACATAATGTGCACTATGGACAATTTAGCATGGCCAATCCACCTAGCCTGCACATCTTTGGACTGTGGATTGAAACCAGAGCACCCGGAGGAAACCCACACAGACATGGGCAAATGTGCAAACTCCATACAGACAGTCACCCAAGGGTGGAATCAAACCCAGGTCCTTAGTACTGTGAGGCAGCAGCGCTAACCATTAAGCCACCATGCCGTGATTGGAGCAGTTCTTCCAATGAAGGCAAGTGTGCCAGACACCTTTACCACCCTATCTACATGCGATGCAGCTTTCAAGGAAGTATGAACCTGCACCCCTCAATCTCTCTGTTTAACAACGCTTCCCAGGGCCCTACCATTAACTGTGCAAGTCCTGTCCTAGTTTTTCTTACTAAAATGCAACTCCCCTCACTCATCTAAATGAAACTCCATCTGCTATTTCTCGGCATATTAGTCCATCTGATCAAGATCCCTTTGTACTCTTAAGTAACATTAATTCATTATCCACTATACCACCAAATTTGGTGATAAAGAGATTGATATTGATATTGACCAATATTCATAAATTACTTTTTTTAAAAAGATTTTACATAGAAAATAAATCTGCTGATTTTCAGCTTGGCTGATCATGTTTGCTACCAATCTTAGTAAATAACCCTCCCACTTACCTCCATTTAATTTCTTCACCCTGTGACAATCTGGCTCACATTCTCTGTTGCTCCTAGCCCCATTTCTTACTTCTGATCCTCCAGGTGCAGTCTCAACTTCTTCCAGCCCTCTCACACTGAGCCAAGGCCCTGGAGATGAGCCGTTCAAGACAGGTGAAACAGCTTTAACTTGCAGAAGGTGATTTGTGAATACCCATATACATCTCGCCCTCCCAACCACTCTTTCTTCTTTCAAGACTCTCTTAAAACCTATCTCTTTGACTAAACTTTTGGTCATCTGCCCTGATCCAATCTAATCTGTCTTGGCATCTAATTTTACTCCATCATATTCTTATGAAGTGCCTGAGGTATTTATTATATTGAAGGTGCTTTCTTGAGTTTTTATTTGTATATAAATAGTCAAGTTTAGTCATAAAAATCTTTTTTTTGTATTTTTATTTCTTTTATTTTACTGTATGCAGAATAACCTGACACCACCACACTTTACTCTGTTTATCTTTTTTTGTATTCACTCATGCAACATTGTTGCTGGCTGGAATTATTGCCCCTCCTTAGTTGTCCTTGAAAAAATAGCAGTGACCTGCCTTCTTGAACCGCTATAATCCAGTGCTGTAGGTAAATGCACAATGCAATTGTGCTCTACGGTCTGTTCCACGAGACACCCACCAAACAGACAACCAAGATAAACATCAACTGAGCCTGAAGGACCATCAATACTGTGAAAAGTGCTCTTTGGTCTTCTAGTGTAAAGAGGTGACCTCGACCAAGTGTTGCAGACTGACACATTCCAAGACTACGTGATGAAGGATGCAGTAGAAGTTTGGGAGAGCTGCTGCCAAAGCATAGTGGAGAAAGACCACCATCTAAGGTCTTTCTGCCAAAGTTTAATGAGGGTCTGTCCAGTTGTCTCAAGGTGAATGTAAAAAGTAGAAAATGTATTTGTCTCTTGCAACTATAGAGAAGCTCTGAGAAATGTTAAAATTCCAATGTGTTGCTTTTTCCTTCTCTCTGCAAAGACTGTACAGAACTGATTTAGAACATTGGTATGTACTTATGGAAGATTTTATGAATAAAGTATATTTTTGAAATAAAAAGAATCTCTCATCTCAACATGTGCTCAAGCCCTACTACAGAGAGCTCAGTACAAAATCCTGGCGACACTTCAATACCATACTGAAGCAGTACTGCACAGTTCAGAGGTTTTGTCTTTCTGAAAAATTGTGGCCTCAGATTTTCCCTCCAATAGAATATTCAAAGAAGGGAAAGGGAGTTTCCAGATGCTGTGACCAATATATATCCTTCAACAAACACATACCAAAAAGGAACAAGACTACAGGGTGTAGAGCTGGATGAACACAGC